AAAAGATGTAATGAAACTAAAGAATCAGAGCAGTAATCAAACGCATTTGAAAATGAGATTGATTATAGTAATTTTCACTAATGGAGCCTAATTGGTGAAATGTATTTAAATAATGGATGATATATGAAAGAACTGTACAGAAATATATTCCATGGGTTAGGGAGAAAAAAGGCTTTTATAAAAGAAACTGGAAAGGAGTTTTCAGATATAAAGAAAACTAAGTGAGTCAAAGAGGGGAGCAAGACTTAGGGGATTAAAAGAAGGGACTATCAATAATGGCAGACAGGTCTTTATTAAAGATAAGGGTTGAAACGTGTCCACTGTTTTGAATTTAAGACCTTTGGTGTAGCCAGGCATGGTGGCACCCACCTCTAATCCCAACGCTCTGGAGGCTGTGGCAGAAAGAGCGAAAGGTCCAGTCCAGTGCAGGCAACTTAGAGACACAGTGAGACTGCGTCATGTAAAGCAATGGGGATGCTGATCAGGGCTCAGACCCTGGATTCCGCCCCATTACTGGAAAACAAGACTGTTGGTGACTGTAATAAGTATACTGTCTGTAGGGTGATGTTACGTCGTAGTGGCTGGAGGAGGAAATGTAGATGGGAGAGAATAGAGACAAGCAGAGACAATTTTTTCAAAACAGATAGCTCATGAACACAAGAGCAAATGCCTGTGGACTGCTCAGGGTGTGCAGTGCCTTGAGGTGGCAGGAGTGCTTATTTTTATAGGATCTGAGGAGAAAGCCAGTATTGAGAGAATGGCCCAGGAGGTGCAGAGAGGGGAGCTGGTGGCAGGACAGGAGCCTTAGAGAAGTGAGGGGAGAGGAAAACTGAGCACACACAGGCAGCTGGAGATGCAGGAGTGGACAAGGCCACTTCCTCAGAGGCGTGTGAGGACAGCACAGATCTCCTGAGCCAGGAGGGTGAGCCTTTGGAGAAGAGGACAGCAGTTTGTTAAAATATTGTGCTCTGAAAATATCACTTGAGCTGTGTCTTTGCATTCACACATTGTTGGCATTATTTTTTATTGCATGCCCATTGTGATGCCTGCCTGAATTTTGGAAAGCTTTGTGAAAAAACGTGAATTTCACAAGAGTTGTTTGTATAGGTAGCTTGTTTCCTTTGGAAACCTAGTGGGACACTTAGTTACTTACGTTTCTAGCTGAAAAGGTGCTTAGGATATTATTCTTTCATTTTCAGTAGCTCATTACCATTTGAGTAATGTCTGCTTGTTCACTCAACTGGCTTCAGTTTTTTAGGAATAAAAGCCAAAGCTTTTTAGATTCACATAATATCTAGGGTGGTTAGAGTCCCCAGTGCCTGGTGTAGAAATCCTGTTGTTATTAGGAAGCCCATGCATGTTCAGAATGCTTTGCTTGGCTGAATGACGGGACCGACTGGTTTAGACTGGGGTATGCAGGGTTTTCCAGCATCAGATCAGCTGTGTAGTTTGTGAAGCTGAGTTTTCAGTGTCATCCTTCACCTACTAACTCGTGTGGGTAAAGAGAGGATAAAAAGAAGCCAAGTAACATCCTGGAAGGGGCTGAGCCTTCCTTCCTTTCATTCCAGTCCCAGATCAGCCCCTCTTGTTCTGTCTCATTACTTTTTACATCTTGTTCTCCTGAGCTTAAAATCAGGACTGCACTGAAAATGAGGAAGGGAGGACTGGGAACACACACCAGAAACGGGTTAGACAGAACAGACAGCAACATTGAATGGCAGTTAACAGTTTATGAAATGAATTCAATTATTTCAAATAATTATGTGTTTTACAGATAAGGAAACTGAATCTTAGATACATGAAAGTGTTTATTTGTCCAGAACTAGAGCTAATAAATGTCAGAACTACAGCTTGAATCTAGATCTTCTGTCCACAAATTCATTATCCATTATGCAAAGGACATCAGCAAGTACTCATACTGTTACTCTACTGAGTGTCTTTTTGTAAAAATGCATGATGATTACATTGTTAGATTTGTAACTATAGGTTTCTCTAAGAAGATTAGCTCTATGTAAATGTAAACAGCTATTATTGTTAATGTTACTGCAACGAAAGTCATGGACAACCTAGAGGAATTCCTGTAATTCAGTTTAGTAAGTGCTTAGTATCTGCGGTAAATAAAATGTCTGCACCCCCAGGAAGCAGATAAAGCATTTATGTAGAGACACAGATGAGATATACTGTGACAGACTCTGTGATGGGTGCATGACCAAGATGAGATAATCTAGAGCAGTCATTTTTGAACTCATACATCAGAGTCCCTGGATAGCTTGGGGTAAAACAGATTGCTGGACCCCACTTTCAAGAGTTCTTGATTCAGAAGCTATACAATCATTTTTAAGAATTTGAATTTATGAGAATTCCCTGGTGATGTTGATACCCCTGATGTAGAAATCATACTTTGAAAGCTGGCATGACTTATATCATGGAGAGTCAGGGAAGATATGGTGGAAGTGATAGCTAGGCAAATAGAATCTGAAGGAGTTTTCCTACTGAAGTGGTACAGTAACATTTAGGTAGATAAAATAGCAGATACTAAAGGTAGAGACAGGCAAAACAATAGATAGGGAAACCGCAAGAGAGTTGTCATTTTTTCACACGTGATGGCGCATACTTGTAATCCCAACTGCTCAGAGACAGAGGCAAGAAGATCACAAGTTCAAGGCCAGCCTGGGCAACTTTACAAGATTTAGGCTCAAAATAAAAAAGGGAAGGGGATATAGCTCAATAGTAGAACACTTGCCTAGCATGCTCAGGAACTGTGTTCAATCACCAGTACCACTAGAGAAATTAATAAAAGAGATTTGTTATTGCCACAATCAAAAGAAAAGTGGACAGTACTGAAAGGTGAACCTAAGCTTATGCTATACCTAGCGGCTATGTGAAGCATTGAAGGGTTTGAGACAACCACACACTTAGATAAAATTTGCATTTTAGAAAATAATTAATTTTAGTGCCAGTATGAAGGTTGGGAGAAATTCCCACTTACTGCCTAAACATGAAAAAGCTTTTTTGAACACATACAGTATTATGCCCCAGAATTAGCAAAATGTGTGTACACGGGCATTTATTTGGTCTCTGTGTGCCATGCACATGTGCAAGTCAAACCAAAACTTACTGCACACCTCTGTGTCAAACAGCAAGAGTTGGAACCACAATGAGAAGTCAGACGTCCTAATGGAGTTTGGGTCAAGATGCACAAGCCTGGAAATGCAGATAACAGTTCACCCATCTTAATCGCATGTATATCATTAAGCCCAGTGAGCAAACCTTATTGAATTTGTCTTTAACTGTATTTAAATATAATCAATCTTAAATTTCCTCTTTCTAAATTTTTTTCCTTGGAAGAAAAGCAAAAACAAAGAGGGTAGGGTGTATGGCAACCAGCACAGTAGTCCCAGTTTTAATTGGATTATAGACTGTGTAATTTTTCAACCTCTACCAGCTGTTCTCAAGAATTTCCTAGATTCCTTAGGAATCTAGCCAGATTAGGAATCTTGGCCAGATTCCTTAAAGACCCTGTACTTGGCCAGTACCTTGTTACTGGTATTATAAAGAAAATGTGTTCTCTGTGTCACCCTGACTCTCCCAGCCCCAGTAGTGTAATATAATAGGGAAAAATACTTCCAGTTTTGCTCCAAGAGGCAGCCTCCCTCTGTACATATGGTGAATTTTCTAAAGCACCTGTAGTCTCAGAGGAACAGCCCACATAAACAGGATGTTATTGCATCAGACAGGTAAGAGTAATTTCTCTAATTAGCCATTTGAGGTTTCATTTTTCACTTGGAAATACTGGAATTTAATTTGTTTGTGATGTGCAGTTGGCAGGTTGACAGCCACAACTGCCCTTGACTCCGTCTTGCCGCGTGGGTACTAGACGGGGAGCTCTGCAGGACTCGATACATCTGCCTTGCTTCATCTGTCAACATCTAAAGTACCGTGGCACTGACAAATGTGTCCAGGTTACGCATTCATCACTTGCAAGGCTAGAATAATCCTAATGACTTTCTCGTAATCAGTTTTCTTTTAGATTAAATGTTTTTTCTCAGTCCCCCCCCAAAAAATTTTGCAGCAAGAGGGAGTTCATGGTAAATGCTTATTTGCATAAGAATACTCTTCTCAGAAATACAGAGCAAAATATTTTTAGCAAGCTCAGTTTTATGAATTAAAATATGAGTGTAATGGAAGACAGTCCCGGCTTAGCCTTTGATTAAAGAAAGTGTTCATCCTGTTTGTTTTGTGTGAGAACCACTGTTTCTCAAGAAAGATTGATTGGCATCCTCATTGATCATACCTATTGATTTTACATTTGTTTCAGTTTTTCTGATTTTGGCTCTTTATGTCATAATTTGTTATCCTAAGAGCTAGCCCCTGAATTTATGCTGGGACCCACTTGAAAGATGGCTCCTTTCACTTCAAACTAATCTATACAAGAAGCAGATGAGCTTTCAGACATAGAACCACACTCCTCCCCCTTTTCATGACATTACACTGGTATTTCCCAGGAAGACACAGATGCTGCAGTGGCAACATCAGCAACTTTTGCATGGTCCAGGCAACATCAGCACAGGCTTGTCTCCTCACTGCCTTGGATGTTCCAGGGAGCCCAGTACTCCTCCACCTGGCTTTGCCAACTGACTTGGGACTCAGAATCCAAATATATGGCCATCTTGTGGAAGCTCTCAAAGTTAGATAATTTGTACATCTTCCTCAAGTAGCAGAAGTGATGAAAGAATATATGCAGGGTACTTCCCAGGTTGGTAGCTAGAGAAGGGCTGCCAGACCTCTTTTCAATCTGCATCTGCTCACATGCTTTTAGGTAGAACTTAAGATGCTGCCCTGTCACCGGGCAGCCCCTTTGGGGTCCACTGAGACAGACTTCCTGCGAATAAACATTGTGCTCAAGTATCTCCTCTTGCATTTACTTCTTCTGCCTAATTTGAGTGAGTGCTCTCATACTACATCGCCATACTCACTTTCTTCTCTGGCTTCCCGTTCAGTATTCAGTCACATCACTCAAGACTATCCCGGAACTGTGCCGAAGATGTGACTCCCAGAACGAAGACAGAGCAGGTAAGTTCACTCCTCGCCTTTCCTCCTCATCATTACTTAACATCGAGGGCTGTCGGGGGCGGCAGTGGGTTCTCCTGCTGTCTTCTTTCCCCTTTATGGTTTTTCTACTCACATCCCCTCCCTACACCTTCAACAAACAGATGCTTGGTCATCCACAGGAGAATAACGGGACAGAGAAGCCATAATAAGGACCCAGCTGCATACAAATAAACATAGGAGGTCATCTCAGCCTCTCTAAACCACAGTATATGCAGCAGTTTACTGAAAACCCAGGAAACGGTTGGTGATGAAATATAACAGTGCAGGCGCCAATGAAAAGATGTTGGATGCATTTACTGCCCATATGGCAGGACTGGCTGCGGGATAGAGCTTTGCCAACGTCTGAAACCCTATCAGGGATGTGACATGATAGAATCTGCAGCAAGGCATACTGTAACAGTTCAGATTAAAGCCAAGCTTTGGAGTTGTATAGTATAAACTAAACAGAATTATGGCGCATAGATGAAATCCAGCTGCCTGACCTTTCCTCCTTGTACTCCCCTCCCCCGACAAAAAGTACATTTAGGGTTGTTTCTCCCTCTGTAAATCAAATTAGCATTTCTGCTTTTCTCTGTGATGGGCAAAAATGAAAATAAGAAAAAGATATTGACGGGAATGATAGCATGGTATTAAACTATGAAATGATGCTTACTTTTTCCAGGTAATTACTTTAAATTAATTTTAAATTAATTACTTTAAATTAATTTTAATTACTTTAAACCATCACCTTGCTGAAACTAGACCTCCCCTGATAGTAATGAGAGTCCTGAGAACCGTGGTTGGTGGCGAACTTACGATAATCCTGTAATTATGTATACTGTGTTTTAAAATAAATAGACGTACCTCACCTATGTAGCTTCTACAATTCTAGGTCTTTCCAACTAAGAGGACTTTTATCAGGTTAATTTACCTTCTGAACTATTTGTTTTCTTTTGACATTGTCCTTAGATGAGACGGAATAGCAATTAGTCTTTCTCGGTTTGTGTGTGTGTATGTGTGTGTGTGTGTGAGAGATGCATCAGTATTTGTGCACAGAAAACATTTTTAAATTCAGCCTTTTTAAATTCAATTTCACTTACCTATAGTTTTTTTCTTTTTATTTCAAACACTCCAGTTTCTATAGGGCTTAACAGAGGCTTTTGGCTAGGAGTTACAATTGTTTCAGAGTTGAGCCAATACCTGTGGTCAGTGACACGGGCCACAAAGTGCAGCAGAGTGCTTGCTGTTGTCAGAGTCCAAAGTCGTCAGCAATATGTGGAAGTAAAGAAGACCTGTGTAACAGCTGCACAGTGATCCAGAGAAAGGCTGGTGGGAGGCGAGACGAGGAAGGGTGTCCAAAGTCTGGGTGGGTTTCAGCTGTTTGTCAGCTGTGTGATCTTAAGCCTGTGGCTAATTAACTATAAAATAAGAAACTTCTTCTAAGCTGGATGTGGGGGATAATTACAGAAAGCTCAAGAGTTTAAGGCCAAGCATGGGCAACTGAGCAAGACCCTGTCTCAAAATTTAAAAGAAACTTCTACCAATGAAACCAGCTATTGCTAGGATAAAAATTGGGTGATGTATCAAAAGCTACTTTGCAAATAAAAAATTTTCTTTCTTTAACTGGAGGTGAGGAGTGAGGAAAACAATACCAACTGTTTCATGAGTAATAATATAGATACTATTAATGTACTAGGTAATGTCGCAGGCACTTACCGATCACCCCTGTGAGTTAAGTACTATTAGATATTTATGTTGTAGATCAGCAAGCTAAGAAACATCAATTAAATATCTTGCCCAGAGTCACACAGGAGTCAAGTTACAGAGCTGAGGTTCAGACCCCTCTAGAAATCTTCCTCTAGATTTAGTTCTTATCTACTATGCATACTACATTGCAAAAAAACTAGATTTAGCAGCAGCAATTTAATTTTAATATGTTGTCCTTTGAAAACTTTAAATTTGCATTTTCCCCTATTAAGGGTTAATTTCTTTCTTCTGTTAAGTAACTGCTCTTAAGTGAATAAACAGAAACTTTCAGCAATCATTCTTCCTTAGGCTGGTTTATTCCATTTTCTTCAGGTCTTGGGACTTCTAGCCATTTCACATTAAGTGATGTTATATTTTTTTTCTGAGGTGGAGGAGGAGGCCAGCTTCAAGTTCACAAACCTTTAAACTGCACCCAAAGCAAAGACCCAGTGCTCAAGATGGTCAGCAATGTTTAGGTTTGACAGGAAATTGATTTACAAGGGAAAGACTCAGGCATCATAATAAAATCATATATACTCCTCCAATTTGGTGGCCTATTTGGAGACCAGGAAACTACATTTTAATAGACAAAGAATGATTCTAGAAAAAGGAATCTGTGGAAATATTCGCCTGTATACAGCATCACTTTATCTGAGGACTTTGAAAGAAATCTTGTGGTAATATTTGGAAAGGAAAACAAGGTAAAATTTTCAGAACCAATTTCTAAAAGAATGGAAATATTTTCAGTCATTTTTGTGGGCACCAAGATGTAGAATTAATCCTGTCCAGCCTGTCTTTATTGTGTCCACCGTCTAGGGAGTGTGTCCCAGGGATGTGAGCAGATTTCTGTCTTTACAAATAGATGGCAGCAGAAAGCACTTTGGCCTCTGAGGAAAGTGAGCATCGTCTTTAGCACAGAGCACCTGCAGAAGAACATCCCCTTATGCCTCACTCTTCCCTTTACTCTTCTAGAACTCATTAGCACTTGCTACCTGAAGCATTTTGTCATATCCTAACATCTATCCTTGTATTAACAAGTCTTTAACCAGTTATTCTTATTTATTCTCTTATTTACTCATTCCACACACATTTGTCGAGAGTTCTTTGGCCCGAGCACTGAGGACTTGGCAAAGAACAGGAGAGTCCCTGTGTTCACGGAGCTTATAGTCCAGTGGGGGTGACAGTCAAAAAGCAAGCAAGGGCTGCGGATATAGCTCAGGGGTATTAGTGCCTGCCTGGCAAGTGCAAGGTCCTGAGTTGAATTCCCGATACCAAAAAAAAAAAGCAAGCAAACTAGTAAATAAGATTATTACAGAGAACCGTATTGGGCACCATGAGCAATGTGACAGAATATCATGTGGGCACGAGGAAGGGAGGAGTTACAGTGGTGACCAACGTGTGGTACACGTGCCACAGCCAGCTGTTTGTCATGGAAAGCTGTCACTGGCTTGGGAGGTCAAGGAGTGTTAGAGCTGCCCATCACGTGAACACCAGAAAGGAGGATTGAGGAAAAGGAACTAGCAAGTGTGAAGTCCCTGGCCTGGATGAGCTTAGCAACATGAGGAGCTAAAGAAACCCAGGGTAACTGCTACATGGTGAGCTAGGAGAGGGGAGGCTCAGGACTTCACCCAAGCCAGACTCCTGAGAGTTCAGATATTCTGCTGAGTGCAGTGACAGCACTGCCAGCAGGACTCCTGCTGTCTAAAACCCCATCACCGGTTGGGTATCCCTTATGCAAAATGCCAGGGATCAGAACTGTTTCAGATTTTGGATCCTTATAGATTTTGGAACCTTTTGGATTTCTGATTTTCAGATTAGGGATGCTCAGCTGTACCTAGAAAGAAGCCTCAGCTTGTAGAATCTTATTTCTCAGTAAGGTGAGAGACTTTAAAAATCATCTAGTCTGAGAGAAAAAGCAAGGAAGTGCAAATAATGAACTGGTAAAATGTTGACAACTAATGAATGTGGACGAAGGTGTACAGTTGTCTGGGGTATTACATTTAGTTTTGCAATGCATATTTATTTTACAAATATTGTGTAGATTATAAAGGGAAAAATTTTAAATTATCTGCAAACAAAAAGTTTTCTAGAAGTTTAAAAACTGTGTACTCCAGTGTGATCTTTGAAGGTCATTCTTACTGTTCCATCCCTGTGGTCATCCAGCCTCTACCTCTCACTTTAGTGAGAGGGAGGGCACATTCCCTGTGACACGGTCCATCCATAAAAGGCTAACTGTGTTATTCAGCCAAAATCAATATCCCTTGAGTTGCCAACCACCCACCCTAGCTCTTCTAGAACCAGGGTCACCTCTGCACCTGGGTAGACAGGAAGAGCACCCACTCCTGGGAAGCAGCACCAAGTGCCAAGTGTGTGAGGGCATCAGTCACTCCTGTTCTCATCTTCTTGGGGTCAACCATTCCTGCCACAGTTTCAGGTGCATCTTCATGACTTGTGTATACATTCCAGCACCCCCATAGGGGACCCAAGTTGAATTTGAGGTCTCCTCCTGTATAGTCTGATCAGAACCGGTCAGCCAGTGGACAGCTCCTGGGAGTTACCAGGGACCTTTCCTGTCTGTGTGAGAAGGCCCATTCTTTCTGCCTGCTTCCCCCATGTTCTGAGAGGAACAATAGTGGCAATTGAGCCTGGCCTCCGGCAGCCCACTGGGCAATACACAGCCCAGGGCTCACACAGCCCAGGGCTCACACAGCCCCTGGGCCAGCTCCAGCTGAGGGCCTCGAGGACGGCTAATGGCAGTGCTAGAGTCTTGGGGGCCTCCCCTGCGCTCACCAGCTCCCTACTGCCCGTAAGTTTATCCAGGCTGTCCCTTCCTTTAGTCTAGGCATTGATTCCTCTAACAGGAATGATATTCTAAACTTCCCCACAATTATACTACCCTGTGACGGGGCATTGAGCTTTGGAGAGAAAAGAGGTTTTGAAAGGAAGGAAGATGGGGGAATTGGAGGTATCACAGAAAGGTGAAGGGATCAAGTAAGAGCAGGAAGCCCAAGATCACACTCTGCCTTGCCTAGAGCTGCACAGGTGCTGGGGAGGGTTCTGAGTTACTCCTGAGCTGTTCAGGGTGCCAGGCAACATGCCAGGTCAACAGCTTCCTTAGCCTCAGAATAATTCTGATTATTATGCCCATTTTATTGATGAGAAAACAGAGAGCAGTCAAAAATAAGTAATTGGCTTAAAGTTCTGGAGCTAACAAGGGAATCTAAAACCATCCCTGC